CTACACTCCTTCCAGGTCTCATGAAGCTCACTGGGAGATAGCCCTGACTCCTCACAGCACAATCCTTGTGACATAAGTTAGCTTGAGTGGATCGTTGTGTGTTTTTCTTTTTACAACTGAAAGAGCCCATTTATTTATCCTATCTGGATATAGAAAGATGGCCAGAAGGATGTTCCAATAAAATTTAATAGTAGCTCTCTCTGGGAAGTTGGATTTTAGAGAACTTTAAATGCTTTCTTCTTTATACTTCCTTGAATTATTTACAATGAGCATATACCAGCTCCCTTCCTCTCCTTACCAATCTATCAACACCTCCTTTCAACTTCAAATGGCTCAGATAGATCCAGCTCACTCTTTGTCATCCATAGGCGTCACACTGGCCAAATTGTCTCTCTCCCTCCCTTTCTCCTTTTCCCTCCTTCACTCCCCCTCCCCTTCTCTCTTACCTGGTTGACTGCCCAGTCCCTTCACTTGTCCCTCTGTTCCTCCCTTGCAAACCTGCACACCAAGTCCCACAGAGCAACCAGCCAGATCTTGTTACCATACCAACCCAGCCATGTTACTTTGCTTAAAATCATTCAATGGGTTCCTGTTGCACCTAGAATAAAACTCAAGCCTAAGTCTCCTCACCTGTAGAGTAGGTTGTTGGAATGATCAAATACAGTACTATGTGAGCAGCCCAGTATGGGAGCCTGGTCCCTAACAGGCGCACACAGAATAGGTCCTCTTGTCCCAGGCTGCCCAGCCACTCTCAGGAATTCTTTTAAGTTGGAAAGTTCTTAGAAACCAGTCCATTTCTACTCTGCAACTTCATCTTTAGTCATTTTTCCCTTGCTCCCTGAGCTCCTCCCATACTAGCTTCTGACGGAACTCAGAACACACCCAACACCCACTTCTATCTCCACACTTTCACTTGTTCTTGCTGCTCTAATATTCCACACAACTCCTCATGTGGTTGATTCCTCACCCCACAGTTTTCTGTGTTTCCAGGTCACCTCCTTCCAGGCACCTTCCCAGACCACCTTAAGACAAGCCCCTGCTATCCCCTCCTCTATCCAACATAGCAGCTGGTACTTCCTTCCTGACTTGTATCACAATCTGTCATTTGACATTTGCATGTTGACTTTGTTCCCTCTCTCACCAGATTATATGCTCCCCACTGGTTTTATTTGCCTCTTTATTCATCTGGTGCTTGGGGCTGGGCCTGGTGTGGATAAGCTTTTCTGGTGTTAAAAGAATGGATTTTAACATAAAAGTCTTGCCTGGTGTGCCCAGGTGGAAGCTACCACTGGGTCCCTTGTATTCTCACATTTCTTCATCTCCACTTCCCTCAGTTCAGTTCAGTCGCTCAGTCGTGTCCGACTCTTTGCGACCCCGTGAACCGCAGCACGCCAGGCCTCCCTGTCCATCACCAATTCCTGGAGTCTACTCAAACCCATGTCCATTGAGTCAGTGATGCCATCCAGCCATCTCATCCTCTGTCGTCCCCTTCTCCTCCTGCCCTCAATCTTTCCCAGTATCAGGGTCTTTTCAAAGGAGTCAGCTCTTCACATGAGGTGGCCAAAGTACTGGAGTTTCAGCTTCAACATCAGTCCTTCCAATGAACACCCAGGACTCATCTCCTTTAGCATGGACTGGTTGGATCTCCTTGCAGTCCAAGGGACTCTCAAGAGTCTTCTCCAACACCACAGTTCAAAAGCATCCATTCTTTGGCACTCAGTTTTCTTTATAGTCCAACTCTCACATCCATACATGACCACTGGAAAAACCATAGCCTTGACTAGATGGACCTTTGTTCACAAAGTAATGTCTCCGCTTTTCAATATGCTGTCTAGGTTGGTCATAACTTTCCTTCCAAGGAGTAAGCGTCTTTTAATTTCATGGCAGCAATCACCATCTGCAGTGATTTTGGAGCCCCCAAAAATAAAGTCAGTCACTGTTTCCACTGTTTCCCCATCTATTTGCCATGAAGTGATGGGACTGGATGCCATGATCCTCCACTTTCTTAGGACCCATCTTGTTTTGTATTGGAATTATATGTACAGAGAGGCAGGGTAGTGTGGTAGTTAGAACCAGGCATCTGTTCAAATGCCAACCCTGCTTTCTCTAGCTCCACAGCAGTGCCTGGCACAGAGAAAACAACATAAAGAATGAGTATTACTCTGCTTTGCATTATCCCCCCCATCAGGAGCTGAGTCAAAGTTCCTTGAGGGTAAAATCACACATATGATTTAGTCTTTGAAAATTTCCACATTGCCTAGCTCAGGACACATAATAAGTGTGCAATAGATAACAAACTATAAGAGCTGTTTCCATTTCAGAGATTTCACCAAGTCGTAGGGAATTAAAAACTTGGCCCAGGATCACTCAGTAAGTACGTGGAGTATCCAGGATTTGAACACAGGACTCAGTCAGCCAAGCCTTAACTACAAGATACAGTCAACTGTAGGCCAACTAATTAGAGAAGATTTATGAGGTTAGAGACAACACTCTATATGATCAACAAAAGAGCTGGTTAAATAAACTGTGATAGAACCATGTGTAGCCTTAAAATGATGATAGCTATCTACATTTATAACACCAAAAGCCAGGCATAAGGTAACTGAAAAAAGCAAGTTAGAAAACAGTATAATAAACCTACACATGAATGTTTACAGCAGCCTATTTATAACTGCCTAAAACTGGGAGCAACCAAGATGTTCTTCCAGAGGTAAATGGATAAACAAACAGTGGCACATTCATACAATGGAATATTATTCAGCCATAAAAAGAAATGAGCTATTAATCTATGAAAAGACAAGGAAGCTGAAAAGAATATTGTTTAGTGAAAGAAGCCCTCCTGAAAAGGCTACTTATGTGTGACTCCAATGATAAGGCATTCTAGAAAACAACTAGAGAAACAGTAAAAAGATCAATGGCTGCAAGGGGTCTCGGGGGATAAATAATAAGCAGAGCATGTGGGATTTTTAAGGTAGTAAAATGATTCTATGTGCTACTGTTGTGGTGGATGCATAAGAAGTTACGCCTTTATCAAAACTTGGAACTTTGCAGCACAGAGTGAACCTTAATTAAGCTATGGATTTTAGTTCATAATAGTGTATCAATATTGGCCCATCAATTATAAGAAAAAGTACCACATCAACAAAAGACGTTACTCATAATAGAAAATGGGGGTGGGGGGCGGGGGGATGGAGGCGAATAGAGAAACTGCACTCTCTTCAGTTTGCTGTAAACCTAAAACTGTTGTAAAACCTAAAGGCTGTTACTTTAAAAACAAACAATAACAGCATGATCCCTTTCATGTCAATATACATCTGTGTGTTTTTTGTGTACATAACTCTGCAAGGACATAACCAAAATTAATAGCAATTGTCTCAGAGTGGTAGGATGAATGGAAAGCTTTCTCCTGGTTCCACTTGTCCTATTTTTTTCTTTTTTTTAACAAAACCATGTGTTAATTTCTCATAAATAAGTAAAGTGAGGCGGGGGCCCAGGGCGCCCCGGAGCCGGCTCTGCCCAGCGCTGGCGCCGCGGAGAACCTGGCTCCGGCTCTGCGCCCGCGGGGACCCGCGCCCGCCAGGCATCTGCTCCGCCCTCCGCGTCCCACGCCTTTTCAGCGTTGTGTCCCGACGGCGAGGGAAGAGAAGGCAGAATTCCTCCGATGCAATTGCGTGTGCATACTCGGCTGGCGCGGAGGCCGGGAGGGCGCCGGGCAGGGGCCGGGGCCGCGGCCGCAGACGCCCTGCGCAGCCCCCGGGGTGGGGGGTTGGGGGCGGTGGCTGCCCCGCCTGGCCTTGTGGGGGCTGGAATGTTCTCGCGGCCGAGTGTACTTTGTTCTGGGGATGGGGGAGGGTGGAGCGGGGGCAGGGCTCCAGGACTCTAGGGCCCCTGGGACTTGGCAGGCCGCCAGCTTTCCGTTCCCAGGGTGCCTTCCGGGGTGGGGTGGGGAGGGCCGGCAGCGGAGCGGTCTAGTTCCCGGCCCGGCAGCTGCCAGGCACCTTGAGGAACCCCTGGATTCCAGTGTCCGCCCAGCCACGACCAGCTGCATGCCGCGGGCGTTCTGTCCCTTGACCTCTCTGGGCCTCAATTTTCTCATCTACAGAATGGGGATAAGTGTAACAAAAATGGCAGAGTTATTGCCAGGCACTGTGGAAAAGCCCTCTGCAAGCGCTCAGTCCTCCAAAAAGCCCTTTGAAGTAGGTGCTGTTACTATATATGATAATGTAATTATCCTAGTAGTATTCCGAGGTACCGGTATTCATGAGTATTCTGTTAGCATAAGAATACTCCCTTACTACCAGGCCCTTTGGACAGCTCAAATGCTCTGGCTTTAGAAAGCCTGGCCCAGCCTCCTTCCAGGTAGTGAAATGTGTACTATTATTACTTTCACTTGAAACATGAGGAAAGAATAGCTCAGGGAGGTTAAATCACTTGTCTAAGGGCACACAGCTCCTAAGTGGCCATCCTGGATGCAAACCCAGACAGTGAGGCCGAAACCCTCCACTCTTAACCCCGTACAGATACTGCCTCCATACTGCTAGTCTCCAGGAGCCCTTTAAAAATCTATTTGAAAAAAAAAAGTTTATTTGGACATACTGGGATCCATTAACAACTTTGAAGAAGTGTTGCTATTAATAATTATTAACAATAAGTAATGATAGCTATCACCAATTGAGGACTGTGATTCACAGAACACCCTGTGAGGTAGGTGTTATTATTATTATTCCATTGAATTATTATTATTCCATTATTATTCCCATTGAAGAGATGAAAGAATCGAGGCACTGAGAGGGTGGCTGGGTTCTCGGAGGTGGAACTCATTCATTGTGAAACCAGACCCCAATAACCGCTTAGCTGCAGCCTCCTTTTGTAGTGTTTAACAGGGAGGCAGACTCCTCCAGAGCCTGATTATAGAGGTTAGCCTGGAAGGACAGTCCTTCTGTCCCTAAACTTGCCTGAGGCAACTCTGCCTGGTGATCTCAGGAGCTTTGGAGAGTGTCATGAGTCTCAAGCGGTATCTGAGCAGCTGGGGAGCTGCTCCTGGTGTTCAGCTTCCAGGAGCCCAGCTGCCTGGAACCTGTGGAAGCATCTCCACCCAGAATCTCTGCACAGGGCAGGTCAGCGGCCCTAAGTCGTGGGCGAAGGAGTGCTTGGTAAGAAAATCTCCATGTCCCATTTTCATTATGTTCCCTTCCTTCTGCAGTTCCTCCATCACACTGACTGGAAAGTCATTATTGGATCTACATCATCCCCAGCTTGGTTCTGCTTCCTTGAAAAATGCAAATATTTGGGGGCTTCCTTGGCGGTCCAATGGTTAAGAATCCGCTTTCCAATGCAGGGGACATGGCTTTGATCCCTTGTGGGGGACCCAAGATCCCACATGCGGCAGAGCAGCTAAGTCCGAGTGATTAGAGAGCATGCGTGCTGCCACTACTGAGCCGATGCGCTCTGGAGTCCTCGCGCCACACGAGAAGCCCGTGCTGCAACCGAGACCCAGTGCAGCCAAATAAATAAATGAAAACCAGACAATGCAAATATTGCTGTTGCTTCTATGGAATCTTCCCCCTGTGTTCCTTCAACCTACCACCTCCCTGGAAAGGAACACTCTCATTCTTTGTGGTAGGTGTTAAATGTTTCTTGAAGATGGTTTTGCGAATAGCCACATATTGCAGGCTTGTCATGTGGGCACACAGTAGGCACTCCCTCGGTCTGGAAGGCTCTCCTTCCAGTTACCTGCATGGATTCTTCCCTCGCCTCCTTCAGCTTTTACTCGTGACACTTTCCTTGTGGGGTCTTCCCTGACCACCACATTTCACTTACACCCTAACCATGATCCTGATTCCTCTTCCCTGTTTCATTCTTTCTGTAGCACTCATCACTGTCCCATACACTTGGTTATTTTTTTTTTTTTTTTTGTTTATGGTCTGTCTTGTCCTGCTAGAAGGCAAGTTCCTTGAGAGTAGATATTTCTGGTTTTTTCCTCCTTGTATTCCCAGTGTGTGGAACTGGGAGGAAGGAATGGAAGAAGAGGGAAAAGTAGCTTCCTAGGTCCTTCTACCCACTGTGACTGCCAGCCCTTGGAAAGATACACATTTCTCATTCAACTGATTCACTTAACTATTGGTGTACCATATCCCTTGGTGGGTTTCCCTGGTGGCTCAGTGGTAAAGAATCTGCCAATGCAGGAGATGAGGGTTGGATCCTTTGGTTGGGAAGATCCCCTGGAGAAGGAAATGGCGACCCACTCCAGTATTCTTGCCTGGGAAATCCCATGGACAGAGGAGCCTGGCGGGCTACAGTCCATGGGATCACAAAAGAGTCAGACATGACTTAGTGACTAAACAACAATCCGCTTGGTGACATCACTTGTAGCACTGTCTCATTCTGTTCTATGACTTCACAGTTATGTACCTCATGTACCTGAGCAGACAGTAAATTTCCTGCCTGAGGACCAGGGGGAAAAGGGCTCTGAGTCTTTGTAGTCCCCCAATACCAAGATCAGTGCAGAATTTCTACATGTTCCAGAGCTTTTTTGATTTCAAAAAGAAAAATGTCACCCTTCCCTCCCTTCTTTGCCCCCACCTTTCACTCCCCCCCAAACATCCCCAGTTTAGCTCCATTATTATTAAACTTAACTGCTTGTTTGATTTGAAGTTTGATATTTAATATTTTAATCATAAATTTATAGCATTTTTGACATAACATTTAATATTTCTTAATAGGGGTCAATATGTGAACTATCTTATTTCTCAGCTCTGTTTTCTCATTAAATGAAGCAAAAAATTTCATACCTTGACTATATTCTTGCTATAATCTGCTTCCTTGGTTTCATCTTCATTGTTAAAAGGAATTTTAAAAAACGTTTAAATGACCTAAAGAGAAAGAGAGAGAATGAGTTGCATTCCTCGGAGGTGAATGAAGCCTGCTGCCTCCCCCAGTCCTGAAGAGCAGGGAATGTGCAGCTAGTGATAGCCCTTAGTCTGAAAGCGCCACAAATGGCTATAGCAAACACTGAATTTGTCCTTCTCTCCCCAGGTGGTGCTAGTGGTAAAGAATCCACCTGCCAATGCAGGAGACTCAAGAGACTGGAGTTTGATCCCTGGGTCAGGAAGATCCCCTGGAGAAGGAAATAGAAACCCACTCCAGTGTTCCTGCCTGGGTAATGAACAGAGGAGCCTGGTGGACTGCAGTCCATGGGGTCGCAGAAGAGTCAGACATGACTTAGAGGCTGAACACACACACACACACACTCCCTACATTGCCCCAGGGTTGGTTGTGATCTGAATTGGTGTCATATCCAGCTCAGGGGAAGTGAGAGGTCAGAGGGAAGTGGGAGGGACTACTTGAAAAAGACTAGTGAATATGTAATTTCTGTTGTCTACAAAAATCTAAAAATGAGCACAAATAAGCATTTATCATGTGATTTGAATATGAAGTTTCATCATTCTATTGCATGGGTATGATAATCTTTGTACTTGGCATCTGTTAAATTTGTGATAAAAGGTGCCACTCAGATTGACGTGAATCTAAGAAAAATACATCAGAATGGGTTCTGGAGAACTCTACAAAAAATAACTACAGAGTCCTCATGAGCTATATGGGAGGAAGTATTGACTGAGTGGAGAAAGAATCAGTGGATGTTAGATGGATAGATAAGTAGGTAAATGAATAAAGGGGTGAAAGGCTAGGGGATGGCACAAATGGATAAATGGGGTGAGATAGGTAACTGGATTTGCTGGACTCCAAAGATCCTTTTGAGCAAGGTAATGCTCAAAATCCTTCATGCTAGGTTTTAGCAGTAAATGAACCAAGAACTTCCAGATGAACAAGCTATATTTAGAAAAGGCACAGGAACCAGAGATCAAATTGCCAACATCTGTTGGTCATAGAAAAAGCAAAAGAATTCCAGAAAAACATTTACTTCTGCTTCATTGACTACGCTAAAGCCTTTGGCTGTGTGGATCACAACAAACTGGAAAATTTTTAAAGAAATGGGGATACTAGACCACCTTACCTATCTCCTGAGACACCTATATGCAGGTCAAGAAGCAGCGGTTTGAATCAGACATGGAGCAATGGATTGGTTCAAAATTGGGAAAGGAGTACGTCAAGGTTGTACATTGTCACCCTGCTTATTTAACTTATATGCAGAGTACATCACGTGAAAGCTGGGTTGGATGAATCATAAGCTGGAATCAGGCTGCCAGGAGAAATATCAACCACCTTAGATATGCAGGTGATAACCACTCTAATGACAGAAAGTAAAGGGTCTCTTGATGAGGGTGAAAGAAGAGTGTGAAAAAGCTGGCTTAAAACTCAATATTCAAAAAACTAAGATCATAGTATCTCATCCTATCACTTCATGGCCAGTAGATGGGGGAAAGTGGAAACAGTGGCAGATTTTATTTTCTTGGGCTCCAAAATCACTGTGGACAGTGTCTGCTGCCATGAAATTAAAAGACACTTGCTCCTTAGAAGAAAAGCTATGACAAACCTAGACAGTGTATTAAAAAGCAGAGATATCACTTTGCCAACAAATGTCCATATAGTGAATGCTATGGTTTTTCCAGTAGTCATGTACAGATGTGATAGTTGGACCAGAAAGAAGGCTGAGCGGCGAAGAATTGATACTTTCAAATTGTGGTGCTAGAGAAGACTCTTGCAAGTCCCTTGGACAACAAGGAGATCAAACCAGTCAATCCTAAAGGAAATCAACACTGAATATTCATGGGAAGGAGTGATGCTAAAGCTCCAGGACGTTGGCCACCTGATGTGAAGAGTCGACTCATTGGAAAAGACCCTGATGCTGGGAAAGATTGAGGGCAGGAGGAGAAGGGGATGACAGAGGATGAGATGGCTGGATGGCATCATTGACCTAATGGACAAGAATTTGAGCAAACTCGGGGAGATAGTGAAGGACAGGGAGGCCTGGCATGCTGCAGTCCTTGGGGTCAGAAAGACTCAGACATGACGTAGTGGCTGAACAACAACAAAGGTCCTTGGCCTACCCAGCACTGACCAGTGAGTTCAAAGATTCTGGTTTATTCTCTTGTCTTCTTCCATGAGATATTGAGGTCCTCAAAGGCATGTTGTTGTTCAGTCGCTAAGTTGTGTCCCCTAAGTCATGTCCGACTATTTTAGACCCAGTGGACTGCAGCCTGCCAGGCTTCTCTGTTCATGGGATTTCCCAGGCAAGGATACTGGAGTGGGTAGCCATTTTCTTCTCTATAGGATCCTCCCGACCCAGGGATTGAGCAGGTGGGTTCTTCTACCACTGAGCCACCAAAGGTATGCAGTTAATTTTATCATTTTTTGTATCCTGGCCCCTAGGCTTGTTCAAGCCAGTGTCTTGCCCCTTCCCAGATGTGTTAGTTAGAATATAGATTTGACTCCTGTTACACGCAGGATCTCATTTGCACTATGGAACATCACAAAAACCACAACATAACTAGCATGAAGGGAAACAAAGGAAGGGGTGGGCACACATTGTCCCCTTAAAAAGCAGGACCTAGACATTGCACACATCATTTGGGCTCTCATTCTAAAGGCCAGAACTTAGTCACATGACTGCACCTCACTGCATGGATGCTGGGCAGGCTCATGTCCATCTAAAAATTAATGGTTCTAGGGGTACTCTTTCTGCCCCCTTCTGATGTCTCTGTCAGAAGCTTTCTCTATCTCCTTTATACTTCAATAAAACTTTGTTAAAAAAAATTAATGGTTCTAAAAATAGCAGAAACAGACATTGGAAGAAGTCTCTTACACATAAGTGGCCAACACACTCTCATTTGTTAAATTAACAACTAAATAAATTAATCTGACATTGAATATCTGTATCCTGAAGAGGTAGGGCATGTTGAATCATATGTGTACGTGTGTGCTAAGTCACTTCAGTCATGTCAGACTCCTTGTGACCCCATGGACTGTAGCCCACCAGGCTCCTCTGTCCATGGGATTCTCCAGGCAAGAGTACTGGGGTGGGTTGCCGTGTCCTCCTCCAGGGGATCTTGCCGACCCAGGGATGGAAACTGCATCTCCTGTGGCTCCTGCATTGCAGACAGATTTCTTACTGCTGAGCCACTGGGGAAGCCCCACTGGATCATATAGTAAAGTGAAAAAATCAAAGTAGAATTCATGGACATATTAATAGTAT